GTGCCGCCTGCAGTGCCAGCATCCAATATGGGCGCCAGTTTGAGTCGCAGCTGCTCTGCTTCCAATCTAGCTCTCTGCCATGGCCTGCGAGAGCAGTAGAAGATGGCCCAGGTCCTTGGGCCCCTGCACCCACGTGGGAGACCCAGAGGATGCTCCTGGCTCCTGGCTTCGGATCAGCGCAGCTCTGGCCATTGTGGCCAATTGGGGAGTGAACCAGCGGATGGAAGACCTCTCTCTCTCTCTGCCTCTGTAACTCTTTCAAATAAATCTTTTTTAAAAAATGTATTTAAATATTTGTCAAAACTAGCCATGCCCCCGGGTTAGGGCCCCCATTAGCTCATGTAGCTTATTAGAAAGAAACAGTATCGGCCCCTAGCAGCTACCTTCACGGCCCCTCCTAGTTAGTTCACCTTTCACCTTCTGTGCCAAAATACATCGCTTTGCTCTCGGCCCCCAGTACTGCCCGGAGCTACAAGCCGCGGGACATCCTCATGGGAGGGTCTCAGCATGAGAGTGCGTTGATGCTAAGGCGGGGACTTGGGGTGCGACTCCCAGTGGCCTCGGGATCAGTGCCACCAGGGCGGAGACCCCCGGAGAGGCCGCCCAGAGGGTGCGGGAGCTCCTGTGCCTTGCCCTGTGCTCCTCAGCTGTGTCCTTGGTTGTTTCCTGTGCGATTTAAAGACTGAAAGATCTGCTTCCTGCTGGCTCACCCGCCACATGCCCACACCAGCTGCGGCTGGGCCAGGCTGAAGCCAGGAACCTGGCGCTCAGTTTGGGTCTCCCATGTGGGCGGCAGGGACCCAACCAGCCGAGCCGACGCCTAAGGCCTCCCGGAGTAGTGCACAGTTGCAGGAAGCTGGAGTCAGGAGCGGAGCCAAGACTGGAACCAGGAACTCCAAAGTGAGACGTGCCCAACAGCCAGCCCTGGCTCACCTTCCTGTCTGTGCTGGGGCCATTTGGGCTGTAGGTCACATTCACTAAACCTGGATTTTTTTTTTTTTTTTTTTTTTTCTGGAGAGACAGAGGAGAGAGCTCCCATCTGTGGATTTTCCTCCCCAAATGCACACAATGGCTGACCGAAGAAGCCAGGAACCAGGAGCTCGATCCAAATCTCCATGGCAGGAACCCAATCGCTCCCTCCGTCACTGCTGCCCCCCAGGGTCCACAGCAGCAGGAAGCTGGAGTCAGGAACCAGGCTTTGAACCCAGGCCGCCCCGTGTGGACGCGGGCATCTCAGTCTCAGAGCCGACGGCTCCGAGGGGCCCTCCACGGCCACAGCCGCTGCCTCTTTCCAACCCGGCCCACCTGCTGGAGTTTTCTGCACGTGGTCCCCCACGGCGGTGCCATGGCCCTGCCTGTGGGTGATTGAACACCGCCGGCACGTGATCAGTTTCCTCTCCCGTGCCATTCGAGCCACGTGGACTTTTCCCCAGGAGAGCCTGTGGCTGAGCCCCAAGAGAATCCCACGTTGTGTGGGGAAACCCACCGCGTGTGGTCACACAGTGTTGCGTGGGGGCCGCATGTGCACGCCTGTGTCTGTCTGTCATCAGCATCATCCAGTTTGGGAAGAACCAGTGTATGAAGCCGGCGCTGTGGCATAGCGGGCAAAGCCGCTACCTGCAGTGCCGGCATCCAATATGGGCGCCAGTTTGAGTTTCGGCTGCTCCAGTTCTGATCCAGCTCTCTGCTAAGGCCTGGGAAGGCCATATGGAGCTCTAGTGCTCTCTCTCGCTCTCTCTCTCTCTCTCTCTCTTCCCCTCTCCCTCTCTCTCTCCTTCTTCCTCTTTCTGTAGCTTTGACTTTCAAATAAATAAATAAATCTTAAAAAAAAAAAAAAAACTTTGTACTGAGCAGGTGTTCTAGAATTTTCTTCTGCCTGGAGCGTCTGTCCAGGGCCTTCCGACAGCCGCGTGGACCCGTGCCCTCCCCTTTCTTGGTTTACCCCCTTATGTGGGGTGGGGGCAGATCCCACAGGAGCTTCCTGGGGAAGGGGACCAAGACCCCGACAGGTGTGAAACTGTATTCGTTCCTGGAATCGAGCACGGGCCAGGGCCGTGGCCCCCCGAGCCTTAGCTGGGGAGGCTCCGGCTCGCCGTGGCTCACGTGGGCAGCCAGCCTAGGATGCTGGCCGTGGTCCGGAGGCCCAGTGCTCCCCACAGAGACCTGAGCACCCTCGCAGCGTGGCTTCCCTAGAGCAAGGGAGTGGAGAGGGCTGGGTGGGAGCTTCGCCGTCCTGTACTGCCTGTACTGCACCTGTGCGTCTCGGCCCTGTCCTATCCGGGAGCCTGGTCGGGCTGGGCTTCCAGAGCTCGAGGCTGGACTCACTGCAACCCTCTGGGCTCTGGCCACACCCCCTGCTAGTCTCCAATGTGCTTTTTTTTTTTTTTTTTTTTTTGACAGGCAATGTGGATAGTGAGAGAGAGAGAGAGAGAGAGACAGACAGACAGAAAGGTCTTCCCTTTGCCGTTGGTTCACCCTCCAATGGCCGCCGCGGCCGGTGCACAGTGCTGATCCAAAGCCAGGAGCCAGGTGCTTCTCCTGGTCTCCCATGGGGTGCAGGGCCCAAGCACCTGGGCCATCCTCCACTGCACTCTCTGGCCACAGCAGAGAGCTGGCCTGGAAGAGGGGCAACCGGGACAGAATCCGGTGCCCCAACCTGGACTAGAATCCGGTGTGCCGGCGCCACAGGTGGAGGATTAGCCTAGTGAGCTGTGGCGCTGGCCTTTTTTTTTAAATTTTTTTTAATTTTTTTTTTTTTTTTATTTGAAAGGCAGAGTTACAGAGAGGCAGAGGCAGAGAGAGAGTGCGTGCGCTTCCATCTGCTGGTTCACTCCCCAGATGGCCGCAACGGCCAGAGCTGAGCCTATCTGAAGCCTATCTGAGCCTGGCGGGTGCAGGGGCCCAGGGACTTGGGCCATCTCCTCCTGCTCTCCCAGGGACATTAGCAGGGAGCTGGATCAGAAGTAGAGCAGCCGGGACTTGAACCAGCCCTGCAGGCTGCGGCTTAACCCACTGCATCATAAATAAATAATAAATCTTTAGAAAAGCGGCCAGCGCCGCAGCTCACTAGGCTAATCCTCCATCTGCGGCGTCGGCACCCCAGGTTCTAGTCCCAGTCGGGGTGCCGGATTCTGTCCCAGTTGCCCCTCTTCCAGGCCAGCTCTCTGCTGTGGCCTGGGAAGGCAGTGGAGGATGGCCCAAGTGCTTGGGCCCTGTACCTGCATGGGAGACCAGGATAAGTACCTGGCTCCTGGCTTCCGATCGGCACAGCGCGCCGGCCGTGGCGGCCATTTGGGGGGTGAACCAATGGAAGGAAGCCCTTTCTCTCTGTCTCTCTCTCACTAACTCTGCCTGTCAAAAATTTAAAAAATTTAAAAATTTTAAAAAAAAGAAAAGAAAAAAGCCCTGAGCTACAGACTCAGCTCGTCCCGTTCTGAACGGGCCCCATTCTCAGAGCTTCTCCAGGGCTCACAGTAGCCCCAGGCAGGCAGAGCCCACTGCCCAACTCCACCTGGGTCTCCCCTGCGGTGGCAGGAATTCAAGTACTGCTGCCCCCTAGGGTGCACACTAGCAGGAAGCTGGACTGGAAGCCAAGTGGCCAGGACTCGAACCAGGCACTCGGAGATGGGATGTGGAGCCCCCATGTGGCAACATAAGGCACTGCACCAAGCACCTGCCCCTGGAGCCCCGCCTTTGCCATGGGCATGAGCAGGTCGCGAGCCCTGGGGGTCAGCCAGAGCCCCACGTGGGAGCTGACCACGCACTGCTGTGTCTACTCGCTCGGGGAGTCCAGGACTTGCGCGGCAGCCCCCCGACTCCTCACCTCGCACGTCGCCAGGAAGCTCCAACTTCCTCCCGATGGCGCCCACGGCAGTGGCTGGCTGTGGCCAGGTGAGCCAACCTGCTTCTGAGGGCTCTCGAGCAATTGCTCCGACCCTTCTGGAGTGTTCTAGAACAGCAAGACTCTAACTCCCTCCAAGGCAGCACCCAGGGACCAAAGGACCTCCGGAGTCAGCACCACCCAGCAGCGCCACCCTGCGGACCAGGACTTTAATGTACGGGCCTCGACCACAGCAGGTGGGGCTGCAGAGCTTGGCTGGGCGGCGCCAGGCCAGCTGGGAGGAAGGCTGGGGGTCTCCACATCCCACCTGCCTGCTTCATGCCACTGACTCTGCCTCATCCGGGCCTGGCCCACTCCTTTGTTTTTTTGTTTGTTTGTTTGTTTTTGTTTTTAAGATTTATTTGAAAGCCAGAATGGCAGAGACAGGGAGAGAAAGAGAGGCAAAGATCTATCCTGGGGCCAGAGCTGTGGCATAGTGGGTAGAGCCACCTGCAGTGCCAGCATCCCATACGGGCGCTGGTTCTAGTCCCAGCTGCTCCTTTTCCCATCCAGCTCTCTGCTGTGGCCCAGGAAAGCAGTAGAAGATGGTCCAAGTGCTTGGGTCCCTGCACCTGCGTGGGAGATCCAGAAGAAGCTCCTGGCTTCTGGCTTTGGATCGGCGCAGCTCTGGCCATTGCGGCCAATTAGGGAGTGAACCAGAGGATGGAAGACCTCTCTCTCTCTCTCTCTCTCTCTCTCTGCCTCTGCCTCTCTGTAACTCTGCCCATCGAATAAATACATTAAAAAAAAAAAAAAAAAAAAAAAAAAGATCTTCAATCCACCGATTCGCTCTCCAAATGGCTGCAACAGCCAGGGCTGGACCAGGCTGAAGCCAGGAGCCTGGAGCTCCATCCAGGTCTCTCACGGGTGCAGGGCCCAAGCACTGGAGCCGTGCTGCTGCTGCCCCCCAGGGTGTGCATTAGCAGGGAGCTTCATTGGACGTGGAGGCGCCGGAACCGCGGCTTCACCTGCTGTGCCACCACGCTCCCCTCTCCGGGGGCCCTGCTCTCGGCTCCCGGGGCGTCCTGTTGCAAGACACTGGGCGGCCGGCACTCATGGACTCCATTCCTGGAATCCCGGGGCCAGTTCCCCCACAGGGGGGCGTGGCCAGAGCGCCGGACAAACAGATCAAAGGTCAGAGCTGGGGCCCAGACCAGGTCTGGCCAGGTGGACAGCACAGCATGAGGTGGGTGGGAGCACCCAGGGCCCCCTGCGGGGCGAGGCGGGAGGGCCGGGTGCGGGCTCAGCACCCCCGTCCTGTGTGCAGGCTGCTGATTGTCCTGAGCCTGCTGTGTGGCTCAGGGGCCGTCCCGATGGGGCCGCAGTGGCCGGAGCCCGTGTTCGGGCGCCTGGCGTCCCCCGGCTTCCCTGGGGAGTACGCCAATGACCAGGTGCGGCGCTGGAGCCTCACGGCCCCCCCGGGCTACCGCCTGCGCCTCTACTTCACCCACTTCGACCTGGAGCTCTCCTACCTCTGCGAGTATGACTTCGTGAAGGTGCCAGGCGGCGCGAGTGGGCGGGCAGGGGCGGCCTGGGGGGCGGGCGGGGCCTGGGGGCCACTTCCCTGCCTGTGACTGCTGGTGCCACAGCTGAGCTCGGGGAGCGCGGTGCTGGCCACGCTGTGCGGGTGCGAGAGCACGGACACGGAGCGAGCCCCTGGCAACGACACCTTCTACTCCCCGGGCCCCCGCCTGGACGTCACCTTCCGCTCCGACTACTCCAACGAGAAGCCCTTCACCGGCTTCGAGGCCTTCTACGCAGCCGAGGGTGAGCCCAGGGGGGCCTGCAGCCGCCCTGGCCTCTCTCAGGCCTTCAGGGTCCCCCTTGGCCCGGGGCTGCTGGAGTCCTGGCCCCCTCCCCACGCAGGAGAGGGCACCCGGGGCCTGACGTCACCCACAGCTCAAACACCGATGAGTTCGTCCTCCCCAAGGACGCAAAGGCTGAGAACCCCACCCCCAGGGAGCCCCGCCAGCAGTCGCCCCGCCCAGCACGCGCATTTCAGAGCCCGCCCCCGCGGGGCATGGCGGTGTGACCTTGGGCGAGTGGCCCAACCTCTCTGTGTGCCCTCGGGAGGCGGGTGCTCGCCGGCCCTCTGCCTGGGCACTCAGAGGGGCTGCAGCGGCCCCAGGCTGGACCTGAGCCCCCAGCCAGGCTGGAGCTCCGTGCCGACTCCTGCCCTCTGACCCCCTTGCTGTCCCACCCACCTGCCCCTAGACATCGACGAGTGCCAGGTGTCGCCGGGAGAGGCGCCTGCCTGCGACCACCACTGCCACAACCACCTGGGAGGCTTCTACTGCTCCTGCCGCTCGGGCTACGTCCTCCACCGGGACAGGCGCACCTGCTCAGGTGAGGCTGCGGGGCGGGGCCACCACCCTGCGGACACACAGGCTGGGGGGGGGGGGGGACTGCTGTGCCCAGGCACCTGCTCAGGTGAGGCTGCGGGCCGGGGCCACCACCCTGCGGACACACAGGCTGGGGGGGGCTGCTGTGCCCAGGCACCTGCTCAGGTGAGGCTGCGGGGCAGGGCCACCACCCTGCGGACACACAGGCTGGGGGGGGCTGCTGTGCCCAGGCACCTGCTCAGGTGAGGCTGCGGGGCGGGGCCACCACCCTGCGGACACACAGGCTGGGGGGGGGGGGGCTGCTGTGCCCAGGCACCTGCTCGGCTGCTCCCAGGGCATCTTTGGGGCCCCCTCGCCTTGCACCCCTCCACTGAGCTCCTCCATTCCTCCCCCACCCTCACTGCGCCCAGTGGGGGCTTCACTCACTCAGCCTGTCTTAGGTCCCCACCGTGCGCCTGGTTCCTCCTGGGCTCAGGGAACCTCCCCCTCTGCTGCCTCTGCTACTACCCTGGGTGGGGGTGGGCCCTAAGCCTGCCGCCCCTGGTCAAGTGCAACTCCCAGGGCTTCCTCCCTCCACGGAGCCACAGGGTGGCGGCAGGACCACGCCCAGCCCCGGGAGGCTGTCCCTCCGCCTCCTCTGCCTCCGCCCCCACCCTGGCGCCTTCGTCACACATCTGGACGGGGGCAGCAGAGCCCTGGAGCTGGCCCTGACCCTGTCTCCTGCCCGCCAGTCCTCCTCTCTCTGATCTCTTCCAGAGCAGAGCCGCTAGCCTCCCCTCAGGCTCCAGCCTGCCCGGAGGGTCGAAGCCACAGGGAGCCCTGCGGGCTGCAGCTCTGCAGGGGCTCGGTCGCTGCCTCGCCCCTGCACCCCAACCGCGCGCACCCCATAATAAACCTGGCTCCGCCTCCGTCTGCGGCTGCGTGTCTCTGGAGTCCGAGCGTTGGGGGTGTTGATGTGTGCCCTGCTCTCTCCTCCCTGCCTCTCTTCTCATACCCGGGGGACCCCTGTTTGTGGGGAGCCTCCCCCACGGGGCTGCAGGGTCCTTCCTGAGCAGCCCGTCAGCTTGCAGATGGGGCACTAAGGCCCGGGGAGGGCAGGGCTCAGCCTGGGCTCACTCCCCCGGCCCGCGCCCTGCAGGCTGCGCTGGGGCGCTCCGGGCCATCCAGGCTACGGGTGCTGATCTGGGGGAGCTGGCCCGCAGCTGAGAGGCCAGCCTGGTCCCCCACCCAAACCCAGGGGCCATGCTGTCTGCCCGGAGGGAGCAGGAGGGCGGTGTCGGGACCCCCAGTCCGCAGACTCCTCTAGGTCTGAATGCTTGCACCCCCACCCCTGCAGAGCCCCCATCCAGGGGTGAGGCTGGCAGGCAGACGGCTCCCCTGAGTGAAGGACCCCAAGGCGCTATCAGCCGCTCCGACTTGGTTGTGGGCACTGTGGACTTGGACTTCCTGGGACCCCAGGCCCCAGACTCGGCGGAGGGAGGGCAAGACGCTCTTCCAGGCTGCTCCCATCAGCACCCTCGGGAGTGCTGTGCGGCTTTCCTGCTGGGTCTGGGCAGGAGCCCCCTGGTGGATGAAAATGGGAATTGCGGCTGGGTGGGAGCCCCCTGGTGGACGAACATAGGAATTGCTAGGGTGGGCTGGTAGTGTTGGCGACAGGGCTCTAAAGGCCATGGTGCGTCCCTCCCTTCTCCCCGCATTCCTGGGAAGGGCCCCCTCCTCCTCCCCCCCTCTGGCGGAGCTTCCTTTGCTCACTTCACTTCTGGGATTGACACCCTGGCCCGGGATGCCCCAGCCTCTGGGGCTGTGCGTGAGGGCCCCGGAGGGCTGCAGTCCCAGGGGCAGGCGGCTTCAGCCAAAGCCCCAGAGCGCCTGCCTACATCGCCCCTTTGCCGTGGAGGTGCGGTGATTGGCTTCCGGCCCTGTTCAGAACTGCCCGTGGGCAGGTGACCCAGTCGTGCCCGGCCCTGCTCCCTGGAGGCTGTGCGCCCAGCCACTGCCCTGTTCCCTCTCAGCAGCTCTGTGCTCGGGCCAGGTCTTCACTGAGCGCTCTGGGGAGTTCAGCAGTCCCGAGTACCCACAGCCGTACCCCAAACTCTCCAACTGCACGTACAGCATCCGCCTGCAGGAGGGCTTCCGAGTCAGCCTGGACTTTGTGGGGTCCTTCGACGTGGAGGCACACCCCGACACCCAGTGCCCCTACGACTCCCTCCAGGTATGGCCCCTGGGACCCGGGCCTCGTCCACCACGGCAGCTGTCCCCTCACTCCCTGAACTGCCCCCCCACGCCACTGTCCAGCATGCCCGCCCCCCCAGGCTTGGCTTCAGAGGGAGCGAGGGTCCTTCAGCCCAGCCAGGACCCCCGGCAGGTCGTGGGCTTCTCGTTTCTTCAGATTCGGACAGACAGAGAGGAGTATGGGAGATTCTGCGGGGACACAAAGCCCCACCGAATTCAGACGAACAGCAGCACCGTGACCGTCACCTTCACCACGGATGAGTCAGGGGAGCACACGGGCTGGAAGATCCGCTACTCAAGCACAGGTGGGCGGGCCTCAGGCCGGGGGCGGGGCCTCAGGCTGGGGGTGGAGTCTCAGGTGGGCGGGCCTCAGGCTGGGGGGTGGGGTCTCAGGTGGGCGGGCCTCAGGCTGGGGGGCGGGTCTCAGGCCAGGGGGTGGGGTCTCAGGTGATAGGGTCTCAGGCCGGGGGGTGGGGTCTCAGGGGGCGGGCCTCAGGCTGGGGGGCGGGTCTCAGGTGGGGGGCGGGTCTCAGGCCAGGGGGTGGGGTCTCAGGTGATAGGGTCTCAGGCCGGGGGGCGGGGCCTCAGGCCGGGGGGTGGGGTCTCAGGTGGGCAGGTCAGGTGAGCAGGTCTCAGGTGGGCGGGTCTCAGGCCCAGGCAGGCGCCTAGGAAAGCAGCCCAGGTGGGCAGGGAGTGGCCTGGGAACCAGTGGAAGGACCACTCCTTTCCCCCATCCCCCTCCTCTGCCTGCTCAGCCATCACGCCCCTGTCTCTTTGTTCACTTACTGGCTTGTTCAAAGGAGCTTACAAAGGATGCGGAAGGGGAGTGGGGATTCCATGCCCTCTCTTGAGGCTGACCAGGGACCCCACGTGTTCAGCAACCCAGAAGCTCCTTATCCAATTATTCATCCATCCTCCCTTCCTCCCTCCCTTCCACCTATCCACCCATCTTCCATCCATCCATCCACCCATCCGTCCACCCGTCCATCCACCCATCCCTCCGTCCACCCATCTACCTAACTATCCATCCATTCACCTATCCATCCATGCGTCAATCCATCCGTCCATCCATCCATCATCCATCCATCCACCCACTCACCCACCCGCCCGCCCACCCATCCGCCCGTCCACCTGTCCACCCGGGCTTCCTTCTACCCACGGATGCACAACACCAGGCATACAGAGTGCAGACGTCACACACTCTAGGTCCAGTGTGGGGACAGACACAGCAACAAAACCAGGGCCTGGTGGCAGGCACAGGTGTAGATCCAGGCACAGGGCCCGGGAGGGGCCGGGTGCCGCGGCAGAGCCCCCGGCACAGGAAACACCTGCGATTGCACCAGGAAGCCGAGCAGGTGCTGCAGGAAGGTGCAGGAGTCCCGGCAGGGGCTGCACCGCCGTGGGGTGGGGCGGGCGCGGGCGAGATGTGGGTGAGAGCTGGGGAGTGGGGCTGGGCTGGGGCCGCAGCTCGGGGGTCTGCAGCAGGGCCTGCACCTGCCCCAGCTCTGCCCAGACCCCCGCCCCTCCTCCTCACAGACCCTCGAATCCTAGAAGCCCCGTGCTCCCTCGGGGCCTCGGGGCTGTCCCTGGGCACTGCTTCCCTTGATGGAAGCTTTGGGGCGTGCACAGGGACGGGGCACCCCAGGACGCAGGCTGGGTGCCCGGGGCCCCTGAGAGCAGCTGCTGGAGGGGCAGCCAGGAGGTGGCCCACAGCCTTGGGGGTGAGACCCGGCCGGGGCTTGGGGGTCGAAAGGGAAGGCAGCCGTCCTGGTGGCCTGAGCACGCGGGCAGGCACCCCGGGGCTCCCGGAGTCGGTCTGGGTCTTGGGGTTTTGGTCTCGGGACTGTGGGGAGGCTCAAGTCAGCTTGCTCTTGCCAAGCCCCCGGGCAGGCGCCCCTGGGCCCCCACAGCAGCCCTGCAAGGGGAGCGGCTGCTGTAATCCCGCCCACAGTGGAGGCTCAGAGGGGGCGCCAGTGGCCCCCGGGGACGGATAGCTCTTGGTCCCTGCTTGTTTTGCACAGTGTGCCAGGTGGGGGTTGGGTACCGCCTTACTCCAGCCAGGCTTCCTTGCCCACCTTGACCGCCGAGTGACCGGGTTTCGTGGGCACAAGCAACCGAGGGTCTCAGGGCCTCTGCGTGCTGAGTGTTTCAGTTAAAGAGCGGGAACTCGGACCCGCGGGATTCACAAGCGCCCCGTCCCTCCGTGCAGCACAGCCTTGTCCGGACCCGGTGGCGCCACCTAACGGCCGCGTGTCCCCGGTGCAAGCCACGTACATCTTCCAGGACCGCGTCTCCGTGCAATGTGAGGTCGGCTATGAACTCCTGCAGGTGCGCCCTGGCCCGGCAGACGCGGGGGACAGCAGGGCGGGGGGCGGCCGCCCCGGGGGCTGCGCGCATTCTGCTCTCGCCTGTTCTAAGCCGGTGATGGAAGTGGGGGCAGCTTCCCTGCTCGCTCAGGCATGCATCCTCGGATTGCTCGCTGTACCCCTCCCTTGTCGCCCTACCCCCGACCCCGCGAAGGCTGACCCTTCCAGGAGACAAGTTCTGGGTCCGCAGAAAAATTAGCCGGCCCCAGGAAGGAGGGAAAGAGTGTGTTGTGCACAGTTATAAATAGGGACCGCCGGTGAGGGACGCCGAGCTGATTTTAAAAAATGCTTAGCGTGTTGCTAGGGGCACAGGTAGGAGATTAAGACGCCCTCTTTATGTTCTTCAAAATTGTCGGAGTCTCAGCGGCCAAAAGCAATAACGTGCGAGGCCGGCGAGCTGGGGGAGGCCAGAGCCCGGAGAGGGCGGAGACACTGTCCCCTCCTTGCAAACTTCTCGGCCGGCTCTCTCCACAGCTTCCTGGATTGCAAACGTGCCCAGTTTTGACCCTTTTCTTTTTTTAAAAAAAGTTATTTTTTTGAAAGGCAGAGTTAGGGGGAGAGGCAGAGAGAGACAGATCTTCCATCCACTGGTTCACTCCTCAAATAGCAGCAACCGCCAGGGCGGGGCCAGGCTGAAGCCAGGATCCAGGAGCTTCCTCCAGGTCTCCCACGTGGGTGCAGGGGTCCAGGGACTTGGGCCATCTTCTACTGCTTTCCCAGGCCATAGCAGAGAGCTGGATAGGAAGTGGAGCAGCCGGGACTCGAACCGGCGCCATATGGGATTCAGGCACCGCAGGCTGGAGCCTTAACCCACCAAGCCACAATGCCGGCCCGATTTTTCTTTTTAAATCCTGATACCATTTGAAGCACAAAGCTTCTGCTACAGCCGCCTTCCTTCGTGTTCACGTTTGACTTTAGAAAAGCACAGTGAGAACAGAACACGCGTGGGCAGCACACCGAGCGCAGGGCTGAGGCTCGGGGAACGGGAGGGCAAGATGAGTAAAACCTGACAGCCACGCACACGAGGGAGGCTTCAAAAAAAAAAAAAAAAAAAAAGCGTGGATTTCAGGTATTTTTGCACCAGAAATAAACTTCTCTTTTGATTCCGTTTTCCATAAATTTTTAAGTACCCTTGTGATTCCAGTAGCCTCCAGCTAACGGCCACAGAAAGACACAGCAGCCGGCCAGCTCCAAGTCTGCTCTGTGGCCGCAGCCACTCCAAGCGCCCACCTGTGCCCCGGTTACAGCGAAAAGCAACACAGGAATGGCTGCAGAGGCCGGCGTCACAAGTTGGCACTGAGAGATTCCTAGCAGAGGTGGCATGGACGGGCACACACACACACACACACACACACGTGCACCAGTGCAGCGCGCTAGGCACCTCATCTCCCAGGCCTGCCCCCCGGGGAGGGGTTCTATGACTCTGCCTCCCTTCCTCTGTAGGGAGACCTGCCCCTGAAGTCCTTCACTGCCGTCTGTCAGAGAGATGGAGCCTGGGACCCCGCCCTGCCGGAGTGCAGCAGTACGCCCCCGCCGCCGCTCCACCCTGCTCCAGTTCCCATGACCCCATTTCCCGGGGCTTGGATCCCAACTCTGCTTCCCCAGCTCTCAGCGTGCTCCCCGCACGTCAGACAGGACCAGGCTCCTGGGGAGGGGGGCTTAGGAAAGTGTTCTCGGAGGACCTTCTCCCAGGGACAGCAGTGCCGGTCACTGCACAATCCGGGAGAAGTGGAAGTGCCATTTAACACCCACATGCCGCGAGACCGCAGTCATGGGGACTGTTTTGGTGTGTCACCTCCCAAGTACACACATCTCACACGTATGCACACGCCACACCACTCTGTAGGAACCATCTACAAAATGCAGACCATTCTGTGGGTGTACCCACATGTATACACACACCCCTAACTGGGGTAATGGCTGGCACCACCGTCTTGCAAACTGAGCACTGTGTGTCTTACGTGACTGTACATTTTCCCATTCTCTTTAAGATTTCATTTGAGAGGTAGTTACAGAGAGAGACACACACACACACACAGACACAGAGAGAGAGGTCTTCCATGTGCTGGTTCACTCCCCAAATGGCTGCAACGGCTGGAGCTGTGCTGATCCAAAGCCAGGAGCCAGGAGCTTCCTCCGGGTCTCCTACGTGGGTGCAGGGGCCCAAGCACTTGGGCCATCTTCTACTGCTCTCCCAGGCCACCAGCAGGGAGCTGGATCGCAAGAGGAGCAGCTGGAATTTGAACCAGCGCCCACATGGGACGCCAGCATTGCAGGCTAGGGCTTTAACCCGTTGGGTCACAGTGCTGGCTCCTTTCCCATTCATAAAGTGTACGTGTTACTTGCAAAAAAAAACCCAGAAATTTACCAAAAGACATGGTGACAGCCTCTTGCCCACCCCCCAAGCTACCAAGTGGCTGGGGTCACTTCTTTCACAACACGGACAGGGACACATCCGAACATTTCAATCCCATCACGTACTTTTCAGCCAAAACCGGGCACCGGGTGGCACTGCAATCTTTTTTGCCGTATGGCTGGGCTGCCTCTCCCGCGATTCCTGCGTGCGCGCTCGCCCTCCCCGGCCGGGCCGCACGCACCCCTGCGTGGGCGGACCGTGTGGGTTTCCACCTCCTCGTGTTTCAGGGCACACACGCCCCGGTGGCTCACACCACACACATTCTCACGTTAAGAGTTCCTAGGGACTAAGTGTTAGGGGCCTTCACATTTTTAATATAAATTTTCCTCCCATTAGACTTTGTTCAAAAACACATCACTGTGGAGCAGGCTGGCGGTTTGGGGCCCATCACTGTCCCCTCTACACACACCATTTTCTCACGTACAGACGGAGAGCGGCCCCTTCACAGAACTGCACCTGCCAACTAGCAACGCAGGCAAAGTGTTTGGCACAGAACTACACACAGCTATTACACTGCTGAAAACTGTTTAACATTTTTTTTTCATGTACTTGAGAGGAGGGAGGGGGAGAGAAGTCCCATGTGCTAGAGCAGGGGCAAGGCCAGGCCCACGCCCACGCACGCAGGCGAGACGCAGCCCCTCTGCCTCCTCCCAGCTCATGAGCCGGCTGCCAAGTCCACACCAGCAGTGTCCCAACAACTGGGTTCCGTTCTGGCCCACACTCAAGGTATGGCGAGAACTGCCAACATGCACAAGCCCCGGAATCCCACCCCAACCCCTTCCAGGTCTCCCGCGCTTGCTCAGCCCTCTGCCGCCTCTACAGCCAATCGGCCTGCAAACTGAGCCGCTACTTGGCCAGGAACCGACTCTGCCCATCAGTTTTGCTGCAGACCCCAAGGTTTGAGTGGCCGCTGAGGCCCGCCGAATGGTTCCAAACTCCCTTTAGGGAAGTCCTCACCTCGCCCGCCTCCCGTGCAGCCCCTCGGTCAGCAACAGGGACGAGGCGGAGGGGCTGACACCCCAACCTGGGCCAGCACTGCCGGCCCCAAAGCCTCCTCAGGTGAGCACCACCGCACAGCGGGGTCCCCCCTCTTCTTCCTCAGTTGTGGACTGTGGCCCTCCAGACCACCTGGCCAATGGCCAGGTGCGCTACGTCACAGGCGCTGACGTGACCACGTACAAGGCTGTGATCCAGTACAGCTGCGAGGGAACCTTCTACACCATGAGTGCCGGGGACGGTGAGCCCAGTGTTCAAGGTGGGGTGGGCGGCATTTGCAACTTGAGCCCTCCCCGTCTGAAATAAACTAACATTTTTGGCTAAGAGGGAAGATTAAAAGGCACTTCTCCCACCTGCTAAGTGAAATATTACAGCGAAAGTGACTTTGATGTCAATTTGCAAGAATCTGAAAACAGATCTTATCTAGTAAATGACTACTACAAACACACAATATATTCCAAATGGTTTAATTTAACAAGTCAAAACCTTATCATTAAGCACTTGAGATGGTGATACATATTCAAGTTACACAGCTAAAAGCCTTGCACTTTGCCAGCAGACAGAGACGCAGAGCCGCCACGGCCACGGCGGCATCCAGACCCCCCTCGCCACCCGCGCTGCAGCCAGCGTTTCTCACCGGGGCGGCAGAGCAAACGATAGCCACCTCACGCACGCAGTCACACATTTCGCTTTCCCACTGGCTGCAGGTGAATACGTGTGTGAGGCGGATGGATTCTGGACGAGCTCCAAAGGAGAGAAATCACTCCCCGTCTGCGAGCCTGGTAAGCACGCGGTTAGAGGAGACTGGCGTCCCGAGCGCTTCGGCTGTGCAGGCAGACGGCCTCGGGCGCTCGCTCCTGCCCGAGACAGGTGCTCATGGCCCCTTCTGAGGCTTGCTGGGTGCTGACCGCATCCGTCACTTGATTACTTTTGACCTTGTAACTCGGCAAGCATAAACATTAAATGATTTCTAAGACTATCTTGAACTATTTGTACACTTAGGAACAGGAGTTGTTACTTTCTCTGCAGAAACGCCATCAACACCGAAGCGAGCAACTCCATTATCTCCCTCAGCACTGCTTTTGACACCTAGATTTTAATCACTAATGCAATCTGCCTTTAATAGTACTTAAAATCTGTGTAACAAGACTGGTCCAAAGATGATGATTTAGCGGGGGTGGGGAGGGGGGAGAGACGGAGGGGAAGGAAAGGGAGAGGTAATAACACCCCCACACCCCCACTGCCTCTGTGCCATTCGGCTTACTTTTTCCTAAAACCTCTCTTGGCTGTGGCAGCGTGTGTCCAGTATAATGAACAAGCGTAACAGGAAACACGTCTGCTACATCAGTGAGCACAATCCGTTTGCAGTAAAGAGTAAAATTTACGGTTTGCAAGAAACCACCCAGACCAAAACCAGTAACTTCTGAACCTAAAGGCAGCATTCCAGCGTGTGCCCGGGGTGAGAACTCCGCTCTGCTTCCTGCTTCTGCACAACCCAGCGGCCACCACCCCACTTCCCAAGGACAGGAGAGTGACAGGGCCTGGCCCCTCCCTTCCTCCACACCTCATTCTCTCAACTACGGCCCTGGGCTGCGGCCCCGCTCACTCAGGGCTCCCACTCCGAACACCTAGCTCTGTAAGCACCGTCCTGGTCCAGGCTGCCTCTAAGGGGCCTCCCGTCTGCTTCTCTCCCCAGTCTGCGGCCTCTCCGCCCGCACCACAGGAGGCCGCATCTACGGAGGGCAGCACGCGAAGCCTGGCGATTTTCCTTGGCAAGTCTTGCTGTTGGGCGAGACCACAGCAGCGGGCGCTCTTCTATCTGACAGCTGGGTCCTAACAGCCGCGCACGCCATCTACGGGCAGCGGGGAGAGCCGTCCTCCCTGGACATTCGCATGGGTGCCCTGCGAAGACTCTCACCTGACTACACCCGAGCCCGGGCCGAGGCCATCTTCATCCACGAAGGCTACGCCCATGACGCTGGCTTCGACAACGACATCGCACTGATTAAACTGAGGGACAGAGTTGCTGTCAGCAGCACTGTCCTGCCCATCTGCCTGCCCGAGAGAGGCGCGGGGTCCTACCTGAGGCCGAACGACCTGGGGACTGTATCTGGGTGGGGACTAACCCAAAGGGGGTTCCTTGCTAGGAACCTGATGTTTGTGGACGTTCCAGTTGTCGACCAGCAAAAATGTGCTGCTGCGTATGAAGGCACCCCCCACCCAGGGGCGAGGGTGACTGACAACATGTTTTGTGCCGGCTTAGAAGGTGGGGGCAAGGACAGCTGTAGAGGCGACAGTGGGGGGGCCCTAGTGTTTCTCGATAACGACACACAGAGGTGGTTTGTGGGGGGAATCGTGTCCTGGGGCTCCGCGGACTGTGGGGAAGCAGCTCAGTACGGGGTATACACCAAAGTCACTAACTACATTCCCTGGATCGAGGGCATAGTCAGCAACTCCTCCGCGAGTGACGTCCACCCTTGATCTCAGCCCAGAGGCTGACCATCGATAGCCATGACTTCAGCCAGGGGAGCCCCACGGCACGGCTGAGCCGCAGGTCCCACACGGCGCGCGCGTCTGCCTCTTTACCAAGCCAAGGGGAATCACGTTCAATTACGTACACAGTCCGTACTGGGTGTCTGCATTTGTCATCTGTTCTATTTTCTGACTGGTTGTCAACTCTTACTCATCTCTGAGACTGCTTTATGTATTAGAACAGGATTGGTTCAGGAATAACCTTGAAATCACTTCTGGGTAACTGGAAACACGGATTCTCTAGCCCAAGAGTTCACTGACTTCCGGCTTAAACACTAGCACCACGCAAGCGTGAGCCCTAACTTTCACTCACCCACCCAGGCGTCCCGCAGCGGGAGCGCTGCACGGCAGCACCGTTTCACACTGCCACAGCCAACGCAACCTCCTGAAGGACACGGCAAACATCTCAAAAGCCTTACATGCGTGCATAACCTCTGACCTGCTAACTCCAACACTAATAATTTAATGTAGCCCTAAGGATGTTGCTAGCAATTGGAAATAACCTAAGTAATGTTCAAATTCAGACGGAATCAAATGTGGCACTTCCACAGAGGAAATACAGAGCTGACACTGTACTTCTTACAGTCACCACGGAGTACTTGGGCACAGGCAAGCCAACACCACATCACAGCCACAGCACAGCCGAGTGGGGTTGGAACTCGACAGACAGGCAAGAACTGCTTCACTAGTACCCAACAACAAATTCTCAGCGTCACACGCATCATCTCAGTTACTGAGAAGCTAAACTCCTTTTTCTTAAAAAATCCAGTGCTACCTTAACTTCAGACAGTCTCACTGTAGTTAGCCATTCTTCCCTAAAAAGCTTTAACAGCTAACAGTTAACAGAGTTCTTCGGGCTAGCTAAGCAGGCAGCATTCCGGCACGAGTTCACTGTGAGTTCTGGTTTCGCCTCAAGTGCAGCTTCTTCAGATCCCTCTACGTGACATGTTTTCCATTAAGACTCCAGACACTAAACTGGTGGCAACAAAACTTTTATTCAACTGTGGTTCAAAAATTTTTTAGAATGAATGCATTTAGATGACCAAATAGACTTTCAAAAACAAATCTTTGCCAAATAGTTTAAGCACGTCTAAGCTTCAATTTTTTGGTAGGGTAGAATATATACCCCAGCCACGTAGTACCATAAACATGTTAATAAAAGGCTACTCAACAGTGAAAGCCTTCTATGACCAGTAACTAATTTACAAGTGTAAATAAGGATTAAAACCATGCCATCGACAAGTTAACTTACCCCTGGGCTCCTTGAAGGCTTGTCAGTTTAGTCTTTGGAGGTCCCCGAATACCATTTTAAGTGTTACCATGTTACTGCTGCTGAGTAATAGTGCAAATGCTAAAATGCAAAATTCAGATGGTACAGGGTTTGGAAATCATGCAGATTCAGATGCAGAAAAAAACTTTAAAACAACGCAAGACCCTTTTACAGAAGAAACTGACTAACGAAACAACGTGGCGATCACAAAATCTAAAAGGATGATTTCATTTATAAACACACAACTTGCAAAATGACAAATCTATTTATCATAATCTGATTAGGTAAGGGCATTACGTAAACTACCAACACAAATATTGTCACAATCTTCCAATTAGAAAATGAGAATCAGTAGTTACATAGAAAGTACAATCAAGAATCAGTGTATTATTGCTTTCACATACTTAACAACGCACGTGAGAGTCTGATCTGAGTGCTGCAAGTGGTTTCACTCAGCATCACTACACGCCCCGGCTCTGGCGGGCAAAAGCCCGGTCCACTTGACAGACAACCCACCCTGCTCGTTCTTAAAGCTATCAGGCTTCTTAATGGATTTTAGGCACAAGAAAATTTGTGGTTTCTTCTCCTTTATCCCTATTGCAATTAATTCCACTTTTCAAATCCCCAACTAGAAAGGCGCTGAGATTCCCCTCTTCCCAGCTGATGTGCCTTGCTACAAAGCACTGGGAATCAATCACTATTGCTTTGCCCACGCCCCCAAATAAAAAGTTTTCTAAGTCATGCTTCCCCAACGAGGACCACACAGGCCGTGTAAAGAGAGCGTCAGAGGCACTGAGACACGCTGGAGGGCACTGCTTACCATGAGGTGCGGGCACCCAGACTAGATTTAAAAAGAAGAAAAAAAACTTTTCACTTTGGACAGTGCAAGAACGGATAGCAATTAAGTCTGGGCGTCAGGCGTCAAGGCCTGACAGGTGGTGAATCCATCTGACTTGAGACAACTTTTCAAATAAGTTTATTTGAAGCAAAATAAACTACTGCCAAGAAACTTTATCAAAGTTCCATCTCAAAAGGGTCAAAAAAGGGGAATTAACTGCTATGAATTCTTTGCATTCAGGGCTGCAAAACAAAGACACATATTATTTAAATCAGTTTTATTTAAGAATTTCCAACATTGACAACTCGTATAAAAAGCATCCAAGCACAGGACACAGAACTGCAGCAAACAGCATTCTTATGGTAGCTAACAGACATTTGAACGTCCACCCTTCTTGGAGACACCTGAGCTCACTGGGGAACTCTGCTTCCAAGTACTCCTGCAAAGCACAGCACAAGCTCAGTCCATGTTCTCACCCCAGCAGCTTCAGTTCACATGACCACACTTGCAGATCAGTAACGGGAGAAACACACACCATACAGCATTCACAGCGTTGACAAGGGGCAGGGGTACAAGTATCGTTTCACTTAACACATTCAGCTACGTGGGGTATCTAGGAACAAAACTCACTTAAAGTCTTCCAACAGATGTGGATGTCCTTTGAATGCAAAAAACATTCGTACGTTATTTGCTATCATTGCTCTCTGCACACTCTCGCACCAAAGCCACAGGATTGAGAGACACATCTCGCCAAGATAAAAAATATCCATTATGCACCACCAAGTCTCTGCACGCGCTCTCTCCTTCCCTCGCTCATACTAGCCTTTCATGCCTTGGCACCACCATCAATCCCACACAAGGTTTCAAAAGTTCAAACAGCCTTCTGGTTCCATATCACAGCCTTGCGTTCACAGCGTTGATACGACTCCATGAAATAAAGAGTACTGGATAAAAATGGGACACCCACCGTCAGAGACGCAGCCCGCGCGGCGTGACGACCAATTCTTGAAAGAGAAAGCTGTAGACAGAAGTATTCCTATGGCAGAATGTTTACAGCACTACGTTCAGCGAAGTGCTTCTTCCATAAACGTTTGAAATGAGATGAACTGCAGAGATTAAATGAAGGCTTCATATCGTACTTTTGTATGAGGGGAGACAAGTGTTAAAAACAAAACCGAAAGAACCAAACACTGCGTGACACCATCATCTCCCGAGAGGAAGACTTTCCTAAGGAAAAAATCCGTATGGTGGGGTTCAAATTAAAACAAGGAGAAAAGAATGTAGCTCTAAATCAATGGTTTCCACTTTGAACATGCAAAGAATTCACTTGACAAGTCCAGGGATAAGAGATTACAGGAGAAACCTTTCGATATCGACTGTAGTGTGTTGGTTTACCAATCAGGCAAACAGCAGTTCAACTTTCAACCACTCAATATTTCAACCCTTTATGTAACAAAACTTATAAAATTCCTTTAGCTCTTCCTTTTTTTCTAAAGAAAAATGTCAAAAATACTGCTGAATATACTCCACACCGAACAAACCAATTTTGAAAATTCTTAGTACATATGTATTTTACAATATACTTACCATGAGTTTAGAAAAAATTGAATTCCCACCATTCTAAGCAACCAACCACAGCCCACGGTCTACATTCCCCAGCCAGAAGACTTCGAATCCATGCTGGAGCCAAAGCCACCGTTAAAACCACTGCCTGACCCTGCGTTGGATGCCGATCCCCAACCAATCGCTGCACCCGAGTTAGAGCCACTGTAGGAGTTATTGCCAGAGCCAAAGGCCTGGTTGGGCTCCCTCTGCATGTTGCCCTGACTCTGGTTATTGCCCGAAGGCCCCGACTGGCTCTGCTGACTGGCTAACATGCCCATCATCCCCCAGCTGCTCTGCAGTGCCGCCTGCGCCGCAGCCATCATGGCTGGATTAATGCTGAAAGCACCGAAGTTCATCCCCCCACCCATATTACTACCTTGATTGTTCCCCAAGCCGGCTCCACCCCCTCTACTGTTACCAAAGCCACCCTGATTCCCAAAGCCACCTGGATTACCACCAAATCTTCCACTTCTTTCTAACTGTCTATTGCTATTGTGCTTAGGTTCGGCATTGGATATATGGACGCTTATTCCTTTAATGATCAAGTCTTCTCCACAAAGAGACTGGGCAACCTGTAAGAAATAAGGGTGCAGACAAAGGAGATTAAGCCACGGAACACACACCTAATAAGCAGAAACAAAATCTAGATTGCACGCAGAATTTATCCACGCTGGAGAGAAATACGACGACGCTAGCTGTTCTGCAGCACAGCCTTTATTTAGCTGTAGTCACGGAGCGGGGGCATCTCACTCTGTTTCAAGACCATGTAATACTCTCCAACAGCACATACTGAAAGCTACCCACTGCTCGTCTCACACGTGTCTAAGCCCACACATCCCGCTGCCGTACAAGCCCAGAAAGCGTAGCTAAGGATGGCTGTCCACTGCGACGCATCACCAAGCAAAATACCTGATCATCTGCAAACGTGACGAAGGCGAAGGCTCGGAAGGGCTTGGGAATGAACACGTCCACCACCTCCCCGTACTGGCAGAAGAACTGCTGCAGCTCGTCAGCAGTCATGTCCTCCGTGCAGCGCCCCACAAACACCTTCCTGCTTCTCAAGGGCTCGTCGGGGCTTTGCTGGCCAAGGGAAAGGGGAGAGGTCAGACAGAGCTGGGGGGCGCGAGGAGAGCAGCAGAGTCTGTCTGGTTACAGCAGAGGGATCCTGCGAGGGAGCCACCAGCCCTTTCCCTCCAGCAAGACTTCAAGACCAGACTTCAGAGTTAGGAAAGCGACGGGACCTGGGAAAAGCCAGCGACAGGAATGGCCCTGACGGGACGACGCTCTGAACAAGGACTGCTCTGTCAGGCCTACATAACAAGGTGAACGTATGACACGCTGTACGTCTTCACGTTTCAACAGACACCCGTGCAGGAAACATTAACTCATGAATAACGCGAGCAAAGTTTCAGTTTGGAAGAGTTACAAGGCAAAAGCTGTAACACATCCTGCCACTGCCTTTCCCAAGCATATGCGGGCACTTAACAAAGTCAATGGAAAATGGAATTAAAATATCTTGGAGGGGCTGGCACTGTGGCGTGGCAGGTGCTGGCATCCCATAGGGGCACTGATTTGAGTCCCAGCTGCACCACTTCCGATCCAGCGTCCTTGGGCCCCTGTACCCACACGGGAGACCTGGAAGAAGCTCCCGGCTCCCCGGATTGGCACAGCTCCAACTGCTGTGGCCAAGTGGAGAGTGAATCAGCAGATGGAAGACCTCTCTCTCTGCCTCTCCTCCTCTCTCTGTATAATTCTGACTTGCAAGTAAATAAGTAAATCTTAAAAAAAAAATTCTGGAGCAAAAAATTTAAAAAAATTCAGTTGTTTTTCATAAATACGTACCTTTCATCAATTTTGTTAAAGACCCCCCTTGTACTTAATGTTTTATTTTACAGCACTTTCTAAGAAAGCCTGTCAGTAAAAATCCCCAACCCACAGAGGGAGAGCCAAGTACCTTAGAATTAGGAAGTTTGCAGTCGCACCATCGTCCATCTATCATGTGCCGCTGGGACATTACTTTCACCTGCGTCTCATACTCCGTGAAACGAACAAAGCCAAACCCTTTGGAATGGCCAGTTTTAATATCTTTCTTGACCTAGAAGAGACAATTTACTCCTAAAATATCCGCATGCACTCAAACTCGCAGTCCTAAATCAAAAGTTCCTGAAAACTGAACGGCTTCCATGAACGCAGTGGCTGAATTAGGATGTCGATGAAGCTAAGTACTGAGGAAAATAAAAGGCAGCAAGAGGGATCCAGATCATGTTAATGGACAGAGTAAAACTCAAGTGACACAACAGAATTTTAACAATGTTTTACAATAAGTGCCAGCTTTAAAAAAATTTTTTAATATATCTGAAGGGTAGAGCAAGAGAAAGAGAGAAAGAGAGAAAGAGAGAAAGAGAGAAAGAGAGAGAGAGAGAGAGAGAGACTCTATCTACTGGTTCACTCCCCAGATGGCCACAGCAGCTGGGGATGAGCCAGGCCCTCCTTCCAGGTCTCTCCCATGACCGCAGGGACCTAAGTGTTTGGGCCACCACCTGCCGCCTTCCCAGGCCTACTAAGATTGGAAGTGGAGCAGCCAGGACTGGAAACCACACTCCAACAGGGGATGCTGACATTCCAAGCAGCGGCTTAGCCCACTGTTCTGCTGTGCCACAACGCCAGTCGTCAGTGTTTACAAACTTAATCACATGGGAAAAGCAGAAAAATTTCCCGTTCCTTTAAACACTTAAAGGCCCCTGCACACACGTGGGAGACCCAGAAGTAGCTCCTGGCTTTGGATCAGCGCAGTTCCAGCCGCTACGGCCAATTGGAGAGTGAGCCAGCGGATGGAAGACCTCTCTCTCTCTCTCTCTCTCTCTCTCTCTCTGTGTGTGTGTGTGTGTGTGTGTAATTCTTTCAAGTAAAATAAATAAATCTTTTAAGGAAAAACTCAATGTCACCTACTCCCCTACGCCTTCAAGGCACAGGATTCTACAACATCGAAGGTCCCGTGTGGGCATGAATAAAGGGAACCATGTAAGCCAGGCGTCCTCTGCTAACTTTGTATGAGGACTTTAGAACACCCTCCAACAGGCTGGCGCTGTGGCATGGTGGGTAAAGCTGCCGCCTGCAGCGCCAGCATTCCATGTGGGCAACAGCTCGAGTTCCGGCTGCTCCACTTCCAACCCAGCTCTCTGCCATGGCCTGGGAAAGCAGCAAAGACGGTCCAAGTCCTCGGGCCTCTGCACTCACGTGGGAGACCTGGAGGAAGCTGCAGGCTCCTGGTTTCGGACTGGCCCAGCTCTGGCTGTTTCGGCCATTTGCAGAGTGAACCAGTGATGAAAGACACCTCTCTCTCTCTGCCTCTGAACTCCACCTTTCAAATAAATAAATCTTAAAAAAAAAAAAAAAATTTGCTGCTTTCTGCTTTAAAAATAATCATCCAAACACGAAAGACAGTGCCACTGAAGTAAGAGCCAGGGAGCTGCGTGTCCGCCGCTGAGCGAGTCCAGCTTACCTGCACCATGAGAACTTCTCCGAAGGTGCTGAAGTACTCCTTGAGGTCCTGCTCGGTCGTCTTCCAGGGGAGCCCCAGCACTATCAAGTCCGATGTTTTCTGCACGGCTCTCTTCACCTTCACTGCTGACGAAGCATCGGTCTCGTCCATTTTTCTCTTGTTATCTGAGCAAAATGAACAGAAATCTTCTTAAAAAAATCTTCATTTAGCACGTCCCTTTAAAACATACTGCCTCCCACCCCGAGAAATCAATCTGTGAAGACTGAAAACGCTTGGCCAAGAGTGACGTCAGCACTCAAGACAGAGGAGGCTCCGACAAGGGGCTGCGGCGCTTTCCCAATGGCTGAGATTCCTAACGCCGGCTTCGCAGTATCTCAAGATCACAATCTCATCTATAGCCTCCTTCTCAAAGGTTTACCCAGGGATGGCGCTGTGGCACAGGTTAATACTTCACAACAACCCACATGGGTACTGGTTCGAGTCCTGGCTGCTCCACTTCCGATTCAGCTCCCTCATTACGTGCCTGGGAAAACGGAAGATGGTCCAAGTCCTTGGGCCCCTCCATCTATGGGGGAGACCTGGAAGAGGCTCCTGGCTCCTGGCCTCAGCACAGCTCCGGCCATTGCTATCATTTGGGGAGTGAACCAGTGACTCTAAGACCTTTCTTTCTGCAACCTTACCTCTCAAATAAATAATTAAAATATCTCTCTCTCTTAAAAAAAAAAAAAAAAAAAAAAAAAAAAGAAGAAGCTTTACCGAAACAAAAATAATCCTCCTCCAGTTTGACCTGGACTAGTCCTGGCCAGTGGGGCCTCTGGGGAGTCCGCCAGCAGAGGGGAGCCCATTCTGTCTCTCTCTGCTCTCAAATAAGTGAAACATGCTAGAGCACACGCCTCTGCCTGCCTCTCTGGATGCCTGCACTTCAGCTCCAGCTGTGGACGTTTCCTGTCTTTCCTGAGCCTTCAACAATAAACACAAACTGTGCCATTAAAAAACCAAACCAAACAAAAACCTCGGGTTATTTTTAAAAGCCAAACCTAATCTTAAGGTTATTTAGAAAGGAGATGAACTAAATGACATTCTTTATCTGAAAAGCAGAGAGCACGCAGGCGTGAAGGAGGGACTCGATCTCCGGTCTGCTGCGTCACTTCCCAAGTGCCCACACAGCTGGGGTGTGCCAGGCCAAAGCCAGGAGCAGGAAACTTAATCGGGTCTCCCCCATGGGTGGCAAGGACTCAGCCTGACCCTTTTTTTGGGAAAGATTTATTTGCGGGGCTGGCACTGTGGTGTAGCAGGTTAAGGCCACAGCCTGCGGCACCAGCATCCCTTATGGGAACCGGCTGGAGTTCCTGCTGCTCCTCTTCCAACCCAGCTCTCTGCTAACGTGCCTGGAGTGCAGCATGGGATGTCCTACGTGCCTGGGCTCCTGAACCACGCTGGAGACCAGTTACAAGTTCCTGGCTTTGGCCTGGCCCAGTCCTGATCAGTGTGGTCACCTGGGAGACTGAACCAGCAGATGGAAGAACTCTGTTTATCTCCCTCTCTCTCTGTTACTCTGCCTTTCAAATAAATTATCTTAAAAAATAAAAAAGATTTATTTATGGGCCCAGCATTGTGGTGCAGTGGGTTGAACTGCCACGTGAGACGCCTGGCATCCCACGTGGGCACTAACAGCCTGCTAATGTGCCTGGGAAAACAGCAGAAGGCCCAGGTACTGGGATCCCTGCCACCCGCTCCTGGCCCAAGCCTGGCCACTGCAGCCACTCAGGGAGTGAAGCAGGGGATAGAAGCTCTCTCTGCTTTTCCAATAAATAAATCTTTAAAAAACAATAACAAAAGGCCCCCTTCCATCCCCCGGTTCACTCCCTAAATGGCCCCATCAGCCAGGCATGGGCTAAAGCCAGGAACTCCATTTGGTTCTCCCACGTGAGTAGCAGAGGTCCAAGCACTTGGGTCATCTGTTGCTGCTTCTCCAGGGCATAAGCAGGGAGCTGGATCAGAAGTGGAGCAGTGAAGACTTGAACTGGTGCTTATACGGGACAGCAGCACCCACGGCACCACACTGTCAGGCCACAACCCAACGACCTGAATCATCACCTGCTGCCTCCCAGGACGTCCATGAGCAGGAAAATGGACGTGGACGCAGAGGCGGGTGCGACTCAAACCTAACCTAAGCACTCCAGTGTCGCATGCAGACACCCCAAGCGGCATCTTTTTTTTTTTTTTTTAAGATTTTATTTATTTGAGAGGTTACAGTTACAGAGAGAAGGAGAAATGAGAGAAAGGTCTTCCATCCACTCAGATAGCCACAACGGCCAGTGCTGAGCTGATCTGAAGCCAGGAGCTTCCTCCTGGTCTCCCAAGTGGTGCAGAGCCCCAAGCACCTGGGCCATCCTCCACTGCCTTCCCAGGCCACAGCAGAGAGCGGATCAAACAGGAGCAGCTGGGAATTGAACCGGCGCCCATACAGGATGCCAGCACCACAGGGGGAGGCTTAGCCCCCTACGCCACGGCACTGGCCCCACCAAGCGGCATCGTTTTAAATGACTTATGAAAGGCAGAGCTACAGATAAAGGAGGAGAGACAGAAGGAGATCTCCCATTCGCTGGGTCACTCCCCAGACAGCTGCAACGCCCAAGGCTGGGCCAGGCAGACGCGAGGTGCTTCACCTGGATCCCCCGTACGGGCGCAGGGGCTCACGCGCTCAGGCCGGCCTCTGCTGCTTCCCCCAGTGCATCGGCAGGGTGCTGGCCCAGGGGGCACCGCGACAGGGCAACCAGCACCCCACCTAAGTGACACTGTAAACTGGGGCAGACGGCAATTTGTAGTCAACTGCTCAAGGAACAGCGTATTAAAGAAATTTGAGTTTCTACTTTTTTCTGGACACACATTAAAGTCAGCTATTTGCCTACTTGCCAACTGCAGTCGGCTGACTTGGGCAGCCCCAGCAGCAGGAGCTGGGTCAGCCAGCACACCCCCACGCTGCTCCTCTCATCCAGGACATCAGTGCTGAGAGGCAGCGAGTGCAGCCTCAGAACCCCCACGACTGCAGCTGGCACTGCCCTCACCCAAGGTCTGCTCTATGATTTAAGAACTCAGAAGAGCTGACTGAATGACCAGAAAGACCACCACCGGCCGGCGCCGTGGCTCACGTGGCTAATACTCCACATGCGGCACCAGCACCCCGGGTTCTAGTCCTGGTTGCTCCTCTTCCAGGCCAGCTCTCTGCTGTGGCCTGGGAGTGCAGTGGAGGATGGCCCAGGTCCTCGGGCCCTGCACCCCATGGGAAACCAGGAGGAAGCACCTGGCTCCTGATCGGCACAGCGCCGGCCATAGCGGCCATTTGGGGGGTGAACCAACGGAAGAAGACCTTTCTGTCTATAACTTTGTGAAATAAAAACAAACAAACAAACAAAAGAAAGACCACCATCAAAGCAAACTACCTGGTGCTATAGAAAAACCTATCTGCAAGGCAGGACACTATCTGCAAGACACACCTATTACCCACTCGGCCACGCGTGCGCAGATGACAGCTTACACACAGCTTTCTCACTTTCCCTAGTTTAGAGGGGTGGTCTCCCAAGTCAGCCTGACACTGAAGTTTAGGGCAATGCTAGGGTTAGAAACGTCCTGCCAAACAGCAGCCCCAGTCCACGCCGCAGCTCCACACAGAGTGGTAGGGCCCCACCTCTGGGGTAGGTGACTACGTAGACCAGGGTCCCCCAGCGGGGTGGGGTGGTAGGGCCCCACCTCTGGGGTAGCCGACAACACAGACCAGGGTCCCCCAGTGGGGTGGCAGGGACCCACCTCTGGGGTAGCCGACAACAGACCAGGGTCCCCCCGCGGGCTGGCAGGGTCCCACCTCTGGGGTAGCCCACAACACAGACCAGGGTCCCCCAGCGGGGTGGTAGGGCCCCACCTCTGGGGTAGTTGACTACGTAGACCAGGGTCCCCCAGCAGGGTGGGGTGGTAGGGCCCCACCTCTGGGGTAGGTGACTACGTAGACCAGGGTCCCCCAGCAGGGTGGAGTGGTAGGACCCCACCTCTGGGGTAGGTGACTACGTAGACCAGGGTCCCCCAGCAGGGTGGAGTGGTAGGACCCCACCTCTGGGGTAGGTGACTACGTAGACCAGGGTCCCCCAGCGGGGTGGCAGGGAACCACCTTTGGGGTAGGTGACTACGTAGACCAGGGTCCCCCAGCGGGGTGGGGTGGTAGGGCCCCACCTCTGGGGTAGCCCACAACACAGACCAGGGTCCCCCAGCGAGGTGGCAGGGACCCACCTTTGGGGTAGTTGACGACGTAGACCAGGTTCCCCCAGCCGGCGTCGGGGGCGTGCAGGATCCCCTCCACCAGCCGGACGCCCCGCATGCACTGCGACACCGGGTTCCGGTAGCGCAGCCCGCAGGCGCCGGGGAACTGGGCCGTCACGGTGGACAGCAGCACGGTGCCGTCGTCCTCGGACGGTATCTCGATGGGCTCGTCATTCTCGTCTTCCGTGACCCGGATGTACTCCGACATCTTCCCTTGTTGTTCTTCAAAAGGAAAAAGACACACGGGTGACCCGGGCTCGCGCGAGGCTGCTCACGCCCCTGTACCCACGTGCTAACACCGCCGCCGCTATTGTCCTGACTTCCAACAAGTAAACTGCTGTTCGCACTGTCCTGCGTGGGGGTCAGCCCTGGAGAACGGGGGAGGCCAGGGACACGTTCTAGAAAACGCGCCGCCCGGCCAGTCCGCTGCTTCCGACCGTCCCGAGTCCCCACGTGGCCCCGGGGGCAGCCCCCGCACACACGGTCACCCCCCAACTCTCGCACTGCAGTCCTGAGAAACCTACCGCTGGGGGCCGGGGCAGCCTACACCGGCGCGCGGGCCGGGGCACACGTCCCTACGGAAGCCTGGGCGCCCAGCAGGGCGAAGCCGCCAGCGAGCAAGGTCCTCGGCGGGGCTCCCGGAGCCGGGCCTCGGGCGAGCCGCCCCTCCCGGCAGCCAGCGCGTGACGGCCGAGGGCGGAGTTTGCGGCGCGGCCCTGGGTGGGGCCGCAGGGGCACAGGCCTGGGCTGGCCGCCGGCCCCCGCGGCGCACGTCCCGATCGCACTCGCGCTGCCCCGGCCCGGACAGACCAGGCCCAAACTCCGCCCGAGGCCCCGCGGGCCCCGCGTCCCTGTCCGGGCGCCGGCTGCCAGTCCGCGCCGGGCCCTAACGACGCTCCCGCGCGAGCCCGCTCGGGCAGGGCCCCACGGCTCCCTTCCTGCCCGAAGCTGCCGGGGCGCCCCGGGCATCCTCAGTGAGAAGCGTCCGCGACTCACCCGCTAGGCCGCTGCTAGGGAGCCCGACGGGGAGACGGAAGCAGCCCGGGGTCCGAGAGCAGCGCAGCTACCACCGCTTCGTTCCCACAAAATGGCGCTAGGGCCGCCTCCTCCTCCCCCCGCCGGCCGTCGTCCTCTCCCACCGGCTCCCCGTCGAGAGGGGGAGGACGCCGCACGGACCCACACCCGCCCTTCTCCTGGAGACTGGGTTCCTCCTGAGAGTATGAGCACGCGGAGAGGATTTGAACGCTACCGTGAACCAGCACTTGGGCTGGAAAGTTAAAGACTTGGGGGAAAAAAAAGTGGGCGTGGAGGCCTTCCGCTCCCCCCACGCAACGTAGCAGATGGTTCCGTCCGACCAACCGTCGGCCCCGGGTCTCGGCCGGAGCTCGCGCACTTTCAAAGTGCGCGAGACGAGCGCGGTCCCGGAAGGGCGAGGCGGGGCGTGGGCGGCGGGGCGGGGCCTGTGGGCCGGGGCCGCGGAGTTCTCGTGCGTGGAGGGGGGCAGGTGCCGCTTCTAACTGTCCCGCACCCATCCCGCACACACACCTGGGAACAACCGCCTTGTCCTAAGCTCTCGTGTTCTCCGTGAGGCCCGGGCTCAGCGGTTGAGTGGGTCGGGACAAATGGGAGACCCGGCATTTGAACGCTGAGGCCCGAGCGAGCGTTCTAGCACGTTCCCCGCGTGTGGACCCGGCCCCGCGCCCCCAGCCAGACGCCCCTGTTGTTTCTCATGGCTGACGTGGCTGTGTGGGCCGCGGAGGAGGCAGCAGTCTTGTTTTTTTTTTTTTTTTTTTTTTTTTTTTTTAGTATTATTTGAGACAGA